TCAAGTGCACTGGTTGACTGCTGAAGATCTCTGAGCCTCTTTCAGAGGGCAAATGAGGTTAAAACCTATTTTATTTGCCTTTTTTTTTGTTACACTGACATATGTGTAACAAAAATATTGCACAGACAGTGCAATAGTAATGGTAGATAAAACCGCGAGTGTCTTAGCATAAGCCAAGGAAGTGACCCTGAACTGTACCAGTAATCAGTATATTCTACATGACCATATACCACCCATTTTAAAAAAGTCAATCTTACTTAAGAATATCCTTGATGAAGCAGTAAGAAAATTACTAATCTTGTTAAATTTTGACCCTGGAGTACCTTTTTAATAACCTCAGAGGTAAAATGAGAACTATAACTATAGCACTTCTGCTACATACCCAAAGTGCCCTGCAGAAGCATCTGTGTAATTATTTCAGTTGTGAGCTAAATTAGCCACTTTTTAAATGAACATTATTTTTATTTGAAAGAACAGTAGAAAGACTGTGATTATTCATACTTGGATAATATATTTTCTCAAAAATGAATGAGGGAAGGAAGTTGTCACTTCAGGAAAAACAAGTAACAGTATTTGCTGCCAAATATAAAAGAATAGCTTTCAAGGAAACTCAGAATTTTGGACAACTTGTATCCACCATTTTGTACAACTTCCCATACTTAACTTTTCTGATAAGACTGGTGGTGAGAAAGGGAGACAAACTATATGAGACTCTTAATCTCAGGAAACAAACTAAGGGTTGCTGGAGTGGAGGGAGGTGGGAGGGATGGGATGGCTGTGTGATGGACATTGGGGAGGGTATGTGCTATGGTGAGCACTGTGAATTGTGTAAGGCTGATGAATAACAGACCTGTCCCCCTGAAACAAATAATATATGTTAATTAAAAAAAAAAAAAAAGACTGGTGGTAAAACTAAGGAATGCTATTTTTTACATTATATAATATAAATGCAACATAAACATGCAAACATTTGCAACTCAATGAATCAGTATTTTCCAAATAACCAACAAATGATACTACAAAATCATTCACAGGTAAAAGGTCCATTCAAAGCACATGGCAGACCAGTGGATTTTTACGCAATAGAGGACAGAAACTTCATTAATAGATTTCAAATTCCATTGTAAATAACCTTTCTGAAATAACACTTGCCAAGAATATCCATGATTACCTTAAAAATCTACTGAAATACTTCCCTTTTTCAACTACCTATCTGCATCAGGCTGGATATTTTTAATATACTTTAATAAAAAAAACCACATGGCAACAGTTTAAATGCAGAAGCTCATAGGAGAATCAGGATTTCCTCTATTAAGCAAGACATCAAAGAGATTTGCAGAAATAGAAAAGAATGCCACTCTTGTCACTAAGTTTTTAAAGTCAGACTTCCTGAGAAATAATTTACACATAGTAAAATTCATCAATTTTAAGCAAACAATCTGATGCATTTTTTAAAAAAATGTGCAGTCAGGGGCACCTGGGTAGCTCAGTGGGTTAAAGCCTCTGTCTTCAGCTCAGGTCATGATCCCAGGGTCCTGGGATGGAGCCCCACATCGGGCTCTCTGCTCAGCAGGGAGCCTGCTTCCCCCTCTCCCGCTCTGCCTGCCTCTCTGCCTACTTGTGATCTCTGTCAAATAAATAAATAATCTTAAAAAAATAAAATAAAATAAAAAATATGCAGTCATGTAACTATCAATGTAATCATGAAATAGAAGATTAGAAGAATTAGGTCAATCTCTCTCTGTCAAATAAATAAATAAAATCTTAAAAAAAAAAAAAAAAAGGGCGCCTGGGTGGCTCAGTGGGTTGGGCCGCTACCTTCGGCTCGGGTCATGGTCTCGGGGTCCTGGGATCGAGTCCCACATCGGGCTCTCTGCTCAGCGGGGAGCCTGCTTCTCTCTCTCTCTCTCTCTCTCTCTCTCTCTGCCTGCCTCTCTGTCTACTTGTGATCTCTCTCTGTCAAATAAATAAATAAAATCTTTAAAAAAAAAAAAAAAGAATTAGGTCACCTATGAGAGTTCCTTTGTGACCCCCTTTTCCTCCAGCCACAGCTGCAGGCAGTACCAATCTGGTTTCATTACTAATCTTTGCCTCTTCTAGAACTCCATATAAACGGAGTCATTCAGGATGCAGTTTGGCTTGTGTTTTAACACAATGTTGTTGACATCCCTCCATGTTGAATCCTATGTGTAGCGTTAATTCTTTTTTATTAAGTATTGTCCCATTGTATATGTATGTATCATAATGTATTTATGGATATTTAGGTTGTTCTTAGTTTAGGATAATATGAATAAGTTGCTATAATATTTGTCAATAATATCCTTCAAATTGTTCATTACAACTAATTAGTTTTATTTATTTATTTTTTTTTAAAGATTTCATTTATTTATTTGACACAGAGAGAGAGAGAGATTACAAGCAGGCAAAGAGGCAGGCAGAGAGAGAAAGTGGAGGGGAAGCAGGCTCCCCGCTGAGCAGAGAGCCTGATGCGGGGCTCAATCCCAGGACCCTGAGATCATGACCCGAGCCGAAGGCAGAGGCTTAACCCACTGAGCCACCCAGGTGCCCCTGATTAGTTTTATTTTTTGGAAATTATATCTCAACAAATCTGATTTGCTCCACATCCTGACCAATGGTTTGGTATTATCCTTTCTTGTTTTTTTTTTTTGTTTTTTTTTTTTCAGTTAAAATAACTACATAGTATTATTTATTTTTTTTGGTAGTATTATTTCATTTAAAATTATATTTTCCTAAAGACTAATAAGATTAACCATATATTTTCATGTGGTTATTTGGTTTTTGAATACCTATTTTGCTGAAGAATGTTTAAATCTTTTGCTCTTGTAAAAAAAAGTATGGCCTATACTTTACTAAATTGTAAGAGTTCTAAAAAATATAGTACATATATAGCATATAGAACATAGACACTAGTACCTTGTCAAATATAAATTTTACAATATTTTCTCACAATCTTTAGCTTGATTTTTCATTTTCATATTTGCCTTTTAAAGAGTAAAGGTTTAATTCTACTGAAATATAATTTATCACATTTTCTTTATCTTTTATGATTCAAACTGTGAAAGATGATCATCTTGACTATAAAGTTTTACTCCTTCTGCTCAAATCTGTATCCTATTTATTTCTGCTTCTTCACAATGTTTAGGACCTACAGAACAATGCTAAACAAAAGAGCTAAGAATGGACACCTCTACCTCGTTTCTAAACAGAATAAAAGTATTTATTATTTCATCATTTATTATCATGTTAGTTGTAGGTTTCCTATAGATATTTTTATCAGATTGAAGAAATTCTATTTTAGTACGAGTTTTTAATATTAATGGGTGTTCAACGCTTATTCTGCATCTACTTAGAGAATCATTGAGTGTTTTTTTTCAGTCACTTGTTACAGTGAATTACAATGATTAATTTTCTAAAATTAAACCAATCTTGCCTTATTAGGATCCATCCCACTTGGTTATGATGTATAATCCTTTATATGTATTGCCAGATTTAATTTATTAAAATCTTGTTAAGGATTTTTGTATCCATGTTCATGAGGAATACTAGTAAGAACTTTTATTATACTGTCTTTGGTTTGTAGTTTCATGGAAACTTCATCCTCATAAAGTGGGGTAAGAAGTATTCCTTCCATTTCAATCTTCTAACAGAATATGTATGGAATTGATATTACTACCTTCTTTACAAATTTCACGGAATTCACCAGTGAACGCATTAGGACCTGGCGTTGCTTCACGGACTGCAAATTCAACTTGCTTATCTACTTCTTCTTGAATACAGTTCAGTAATTTGTATCTTTCAAGGAAATGTCCATTTCATGTATTTTTTTAACTAGATACAGAGGTTTATTTTAGGGCTAAATGCATTAATTTAATACAACCTATCTAGTTAAGTTAGATTTTCTTTTAGATATGTAAATGGAAAGCAATAGATAGTTGTATATTTTCTTGCCTAAATCTAATCCACATTTTTTTCAGTATGGCGTTGTAAGCTAACATTCTTTTAGTGGTTTAAATTACTTTCTCTAAAAGCAGATTTTCTGGTTTCCTTATTTTTACAGGCCTTAGTTTTGGCAATTCAGTGATCACTTGATAGTCTCAATCTCCTGTCTCAAGAAAAATCACATTGACTTCCCAAAAACTGATTAAGGAGGCTCCCATCACACTTTCTAACAAGAGAATAAAAGTGACTTTTGTTGTTCTGTGGTCCACAAATACTCAAGGCTTCTTTTCTTACTCTAGTAAAGCACAGGCCATGACACCTGTATCTAGGGCCTCTGTACTTCATTCCCCCCTCCCCAAACAGATCACTGTTGAACCTACACAAAGCCCAAGAACTAAAAGAAGAAAACAAAATTCTCTTAGCACAACTTAAACATATCACATGTGGAATACTCATTCAATAAATATTTATTAAATACCTGTTTGTCAGGCACTTAAATTCAAATTTAAACTAAAAATGCAACCAACCAAGCAATATAGCTACCAAACTGACAAAAACATTAAAGTGCTGACCCTGGAAAAGATATATACAAAGACTTAATAAGGAAAACGAAGTAAATTGGAAGATGGTAATAACTGATAAAATGAAAAATATTTTTGACACAAATTTGGAAGCCACAAAAGTGCTGAAATTCTTCACAGAAGTGTTGTCAATGAGTGGCCTGAGGACAGGATAGAAAGTCAGGAACGTTTCCATTTTAATTCCATTTTATTTTCACAGAGATGCTTTGAGAGCAACTAATTAATATTTTGCAAAAAAGCTTAGTGATAAGCTCAAAGAAGAATGTTAGAAATCAAAAAGCAGGCACACAGAATTACAAAAAAGGTCAATGAATAAAAACTCAATTAAAATTCAGTTGCTTAAGTTGCTTAACAAGTTTATATCAAACATTACTATAAATATTTACTTTAAAAAATTACGTAAGATGAAAATCTGCAACCCAAGTTCTCTGTAAATAAAGAAAATGTCACACAACTTACGATATTTACTGTGAATTTCATCTATTTCCTTTTCTGTTTGGTCCTTTGTAAAAACCATTATCTAAAATAATCCAAAAAAAACTTAATTAAAAATTTAAAATATGACAGAAACAAAAATTAGTAATACAAACTTTAAAATCTCAAATGTGGATATTTAAAATAGGAGAAAATAATCTCTTTATCTCTGTTTTATATAAACCTAGGAAGAATAACTCCTGTGGATTTCCCTTGAATAGCATAATAAGTATACCTTTCACTCACTACTGTTTTCTCATCTATAGAAAATGCAACACTAATATACAGATTAAGGCTAAGATGAACTATTAACACAATAATCAATTAAATTTCTACTTTCAATATTTAATTTTTCACATTCATTAATACAACAAATAACACTTGAAACCACAAGACTGAAAAAGCATTTAGCAGATCATTAATAAAGCAGATTTTCTTGCTTGTCTTCTACCTTTTCCAACCTAACTTCTCCAAGTCTACTGGAAAAAAGAACATATAAAGAAAATATGACAGTGTAAGATTTTAGTGTTTTAAATTTCTACTTCCACTTTTGAAAATCTTAGACTTAAAAGATCAGAAATCTACTTATAGGATTCATTATAGTTTCCATTTTATAGTTAGTGCACAGATAATGATAAAGTCAATGAAAATCTCATTTTTTTTCTACTGTCTGATTATAAACTTACTTCCCTAAGGTCGTAGCTTTCCTTACAGACACATTACCGATGGTCTAGGAAAAAAAGTCTACTTGGGAGAGCCCCCAAACACTTCCTCCAGTGTCATAGGACACAATGACTATTTTCTTCTTTGGTATCCTTTCCTCAAGTTTTGGACCATCAAGCTAGAGGAAGGCAATAGTGAAGAATTTTAAGTCTCTGATTCCCTCAATAAGCTCAACAGATACTCAATCCTCATAAAGTTTTACAATTACTTAATTTCTCCATCAATATAATCACAGAATTGCAGAATGCCAGAGCTAAAGGAGGTTTTTAGAGATCATATAGTTCAATTCCTAAGTTTTACAGACGAAGATCCTAAGGGCCACAGATATTAAAGAGCTTATCAAACGTAACCAGCAGAGAAAGGACAAATATCAAGGTCACCTGATGTACAGACATATGCTTTTTCCATAGGACTATAATTGTATTTTGTCCTAGAAGATTGCTAAAGGACAGAATTCTGTGCTAAAAATAAGCTGCAATAACACATTAAACGGAAATGTGTTCCAGGATATTTCCTATTGAACAGATTTAATTCTGGCAATCTTTTTAATTTTGGGGGGGCACTCAATTTTTCTTTCCATCATTTCTATGCAGATAATGAAACAGACCATCAACATACACTTTCATTGAGTTTACTAGCTTCAAGACGCATTCTAGTCTTCTCCATATTTTCAATTTCTTGAACTATTTCAGCAGCTGTTAAAATAAGGACATACAGCCAATGTTAATTACATGGTTTTCATCATTATACTATGGATATATAATGTGTTAACTCTAAAGGTAAAAGGTGGGTATTCATGAATTCCCTGTCCTATTCTTATAATTTTTCTCTAAGTCCAAAGTTATCTCAAAATAAAAGATTACAAAAATAACATGGAATAAAACATCGAACTCTTACATCTTACACATGCAGAACAGTTGAAGACAACCGTAAGAGTAATTTTGCTCTTTCCTTTAAGTAAATAAGTATAAACAGCAGTCCCAATGGAATATGAAAATTAATTTGTTAATGTGAATCCAATTCTTAGCAGATATCCACTCAAACTCCAATGTACTAAAACATAAATACACACTTTTATATACAGAGCATTGAGACTATGGAGCAATAACAAAAAGTCTAACATACATGTAACAGAAATCCCAAAAGAGGAAGAAAAGGGAAGAGAAAAAAATATTTTCAAGACCTAATGGCCAGAATTTGCCAAATTTAATAAAAGACATCAAACCACAAATGTAAAAAAACTCAAGGAACATTAAGCAGAATAAAAGCAAAAACAAAACAAAACAAAAATACAAGAATAGCACATATACACACTGACACACAGAGAAAAATCTGTGAGAGCCAGAGAAAAAGAGTATATTACATAAAGAAAAAGCAAGCATTATATCATGATTCTCATCAGAAACTATTCAAGCCAGAAGACAATGGAGTAATGAATTAAAAGCACAGAGGAAAAATCCTGACAATCCAGAATTCTCTATCAATGGAAATATTTTTCAAAAGTGAAGGAGGAATAGATTGTCTGCAACAAACAAAAACAGAGAGTGTATAATTAGCAGATCTATACTATAAAAGCGTTAAAGGAAGTTGCTTAAGCAGAGGAAATATGAAACAAGAAACTTATGTCTTCTTTATCTCTTCCTATAAGAGAAAATGAAGAATGCTAGAAATGGTAAAAATGAAGGTAAATACAAAATATATTTTTCTTTTTTTACCTCTCTAAAAGATAACTGTCCTTTTAAAGGAAAACAAGATTATTATGTTAACAGCATAGGTAAAAATGTAAAACTCATGACAACAACAACACAAAGAATTAGGGATTGGGACTACACTGTTGTTAGGTTCTTATACTACAAATGAAGCATATCATTTGAAGGTAGACTGTGACTACTTGAAGGTGTCTATTACAAACCGCAGGTCAACCACTAAAACTTTCTAAAAAGAGAAAATAAAAGAAAATATCAGAAAGAAATAAAATGTATTAGTAAAAGAAAATACTCAGTCCAAAAGAGAACCAATAAATAAATAAATGGAATAAAAGCAGATAAAACAAGCAAAAAACAATTAGGAAGACTTTAACTGTAAAGCCAACTATTACCAATAATTACATTAAATGTAAATGATCTAAAAGCAATAATAAGAGATAGAAAATGCATATTAGATTAAAAAAATCAAGAACAAACTACATGCTTTCAGCAAAGAATCCTTTTTATTTTATTAAGATTTTACTTATTTTTTTGAGACAGAGAGAATGGGAGCATGAGATGAGTATGGAGAAGGGCAGAGAGACAAGCACACTCCACGCTAAGTTGGGAGCTGATGTGGGGCTCTCTCCGAGGACCCTGAGATCATGACCTGAGCTGAAGTCAGATGCTTAACTGACTGGGCCACCCCAGCACCCCCAAAGTACCCATTTTAAATAAAAGACATAGGTTCAAAATAAAGGTATGGAGAGAGATGTGTCATGTAAATACTAATGAGAAGAAACAAAGAATAGCTATATTAATATCAGGCACAACAGACTTTAGAACAATGAATGCTGTCAGGGATGAAGAGGGAAATTACAGGGATGCCTGGGTGGCTCAGTTGGTTAAACGTCTGCCTTTGTCTCAGGTTATGATCCCAGGGTCCTGGGATGGAGCCCCACAGGAGCCTGCTTCTCCCTCTGCCTGCCACTCCCCATTTGTGCTCTCTTGCTCTCACTCTCTCTCTCTCTCTTTGACAAATAAATAAATAAAATCTTAAAAAAAAAAAAAGAGGGAAATCATAGAACGATAAAGGGGTTAATTCACTAAGAAAACATTCCTACATGTGTTTGCACCTAGAACAGAAATAAAAAATTAACAAGAACTTCTAGTTTTGAAAATGGACTAGACTCATATCTCTTCTCATATTCTTCCTAAGTATAACTAAAACCCTTAGATGTAATATAATAACAGACAATTGTAAGAGAACTATGAAAGAAGGAGGAAGATGGACTGCCTAAGGGTCTCAGAATTTAAAGAACAACATGATGATGAGTTCCCTAGGCTTTCTCTTTATCTTCTATATATCCCAGATTGGGCACTGGTGAAACCTGCAACCCAGAATCATCAACCATCTCTCTCTCTCTTTCTCTCTCTCTCTCTCTCTCTCACACACACACACACAAACTCCAAGAAACCAATTTTTGTTCTAGCAAAGGACTATGAAAGGAGAAGACCAATAAACTTTTTGATAATACCTGATCTAGTCCAACTAAACACTGCTGATGCTTCCTGCCCACCAAAGTATCATCAGAGAACAAGTGTAGAGTGTGGATTCTACCCCCTTAATTCCCCCAGCAGTAGCTGGAAGACTGGGGACAGCTTTTGTCTTTCAGAAACACTGTGCCAGTAAAGACCTAGTGAATAACCTAGATCTCTATCTCTCACCCACCAGTAGCAGGTAGCATCCTCATCCCCTAACAGTGATTGGAGGGAGGATCTCAAAGAGAAAACCATCCTTTAAACCTGCACAGCAAATCCTAAACACATTCCTGACCCACTCACATGTGAAATATCCTAAAATTAATAGGGCAGGGATGCCTGAGTGGCTCAGTCGGTTAAGCATCTGCCTTCGGCTCAGGTCATGATCCCAGGGTCCTGGGATCAAGTCCTGCATCAGGCTCCTTGTTCAGTGGGGAGCCTGTTTCTCCCCCTGACTGCTGCTCCCTCTGCTCATGCTTGCATGTGTGCTCTCTCTCTCTCTGACAAATAAATAAATAAAATCTTTGAAAAAAAATTAAATTAATAGGCCAAAAAGGTCTGAGAACTGAACCACAATATCAGTATTTCTGAGTGCCCCCCAGGTAGCAATTAAATGAAGCAGACCTGAACAACACTGCAAGAGTTCTGAAAACTAAATTGTCATTAGAACCATAGTCCACAGGAGGAGGCCTGGATCTGAAGCTAAACCTTAACAGGGTGACTGCCTGCTACAGTAGAATATTTTAAAAGGAGCTAGAATCTCATATTACAGTCAAAATGTCCAGGACACAATAAAAACACTTATCAACTAAGAAGCAGAAAAATGACAACTTCAATGAGAAAAGGCAATCAACAAATGCTAACACTGAGATGACTCAAATCTTGAAACTATAAGAATTTTAAAGCTACCATCATAAAAATTTCAAGAGTACACTGCTATGGCATATGAGTATTATTCTTTGTATATTTTGGAATACTGTGTATCAAAACTGGTAAAAATTAATGCAATTAATATTTTTATGAAAATAACACTTTTAAAAATCCTAGTTTCAGTGGCATCTGTGTGATCAGTTGGTTAAGGATCTGTCTTCAGCTCAGGTTATGGTCCCAGGGTCCTAGGATCGAGCCCACACTGGGCTCCCTGCTCAGTGGAGAGACTGCTTCCCCTTCTCCCTCTGCTGCTCCCCTACTTGTGCACTCTCTCTTTCTCTCACTGTCTCTCTCTGTCAAATAAATAAAATCTTTTATTAAAAATCTTAAAAAAAAAAAAAAGTACACTGCTATATGGAATTTAAGAAACAAAACACAGGATGATAGGTGAAGAGAGGAAAAAAATAAAACAAGTCAAAACCAGAGAGTGAAACAAACCATAAGAGACTCTTCATCATAAGAAATAAACTGAGGTTTGCTGGAGGGCAGGAGGGTGGAAGATGGAGTAAGTGGGTGAAGGACTTTAAGAAGGGCATGTGATACAATGAGTGCTAGGTATTATATAAGACTGAGGAACCACAGGCTTGTATCTCTGAAACCAATAAAACATTATGTTAATTAATTGAATTTAAATTAAAAACTGTTTTTAAAATGCTTCAAGAATAATTAGGAGCACTCTCAAAACAAAAGAAAATAAAACTGCTACTGTATGTAATATTTTTATGACAGCCAGTGGTCCATTAAAAAGTATAGCTTTTTAAAGTAGTTTAAATGTTACATTTCAGTTACTAATGTCTTAGAAGGGACAACTGAGTAACAAGAATTAGAAACAAAGTGAAACAATGAACCCCACTCTATTTCAGTAAAAAAAATCAAGTCACAATGAAAAAGGTAAAAAGGAAATTATGACCACATATTTGACTATATACCCTCAGTCTAACTAAGGGAGGAGGGGAGAAGCAGCCTGGGAGAGAGAACTAGAAAATATCCTGAATTCTTTTTTATAGGTAGGTCTGTTTTGCCGTGGTGTAGTAGTATTGATGAAGCAATTTTAAAACTATTTTAATTGTGCAATAGAACTGAACAAATCAGTAAATGTGCTGATGCTACTAAAGGGGGGATTCTCTCGGTGGGGGGAAAAAGGGAAATATAAATATGTAAGAGAGAAAGGTAAGGAACCCTGTCAGATTGGACTGTAAGCACAGGTTCAGTATGTCCTCATAATTTCTAATGCATATAAGTGTAAATGGATTTACATGTGTACTTACCTATATAATACATAGGAATACATGCATCAGGAGATACCACTACATATCCAACAGAATGGCTAAAATTAAGAAGACTGGAAATACTAAGTGTTGGCAAGGAAGTGGAGCAAGTGGATCTCTCATACAATGAAGAATAGTGTAGCCATTTAAAAAACAGTTCAGGAGGGTGCCTGAGTGGCTTAGTGACCTCTGCCTTCGGCTCAGGTCATGATCTGAGGGTCCTGCGATAAAGCCCTGCATCGGGCTCTCTGCTCAGCAGGGAGCCTGCTTCCCCCTCTCTCTCTGCCTGCCTCTCTGCCTACTTGTGACCTCTCTCTCTCTCTGTCAAATAAATAAATAAAATCTTTAAAAAAAACAGTTCAGCAATTTCCTTACTTTTAAGCATACACTTACTATATATATATATATATATATATAGTAAGTGTACTCCTGGGTATTTATCCAAGAAAAATGAAAACATATGGCTATACAAAGATCTGTAATCCCATGTTCATCACAGCTTTACCCATAATAGGCAAAAACTGGAACACTGCTTGACAATAAAAATGAGTGAATTACTGATAATGCAACATGGGTAAATTTCAAGAGCACTGCACTAAGTGAAAGAAGCCAGATACAAAAGACTACATAATGTGCAATATGTGTAACTCCATTTGCCAGGCATTTTAGAAAAGGTAAAACTAGAGAAACATAAAAGATCAGTATATCTCAGGGCCTTAGTGTAAGGAAGAGGGAAATGACTACAAAAGGGCTGAAGAACATCCGGGGAAGAAAATGTTCTATATTTTGACTGAAATGATAGCTAGATAACTATGCATACATTTGTCAAAACTCATCTAACTATACACAGTAAAAAAATGCATTATAGAAGCACACGGGTGGCACAGTTGGTTGAGCATCCAACTCTTGGTTTCAGCTCAGGTCATGATCTCAGGGTCATGAAATCGAGCCCCTTGTGGTGCTCGGCACTCAGTGTCAACTCTGCTTCAGACTCTCTCTCCCTCTCCTTCTGCCCCTCCCCGCTGCACTCTCCCTCTCTCTCAAATAAATAAATCTTTAAAAAATAATAGGATGATTATGTGCCAATTTTAAAATGCACACATAAAAAGTGAATAAATAACAAGGTGCTGGATATAAGACAATGTATAAAAATTAGCTACATTTTACATGCCAGTGACAAAAAAATAAAAATTGACATTTTTTTTTTTAAAGATTTTATTCATTTATTTGACAGACAGAGATCACAAGCAGACAGAGAAGCAGGCAGAGAGAGAGGAGGAAGCAGGCTCCCCGCTGAGCAGAGAGCCCGATGTGGGGCTCGATCCCACAACCCTGGGATCATGACCTGAGTCGAAGGCAGAGGCCTTAACCCACTGAGCCACCCAGGTGCCCCAAAAATTGACATTTTAAAACAAGACACCAATTATCACTGCATCAAAAACATCAAATACCAATGAATAAGTCTTTTAAAAAAAGCCCTTCATACTGAAGACTATAAAACATCACTGACAGAAATGAAAAACTAAAGGGATAAACCAAATTCATGGATTGAAAGACTCAAATAGTGTACCAATATCAACTTTGATACCAAACTGATTACAGATTGAACATAGACCCAATCAAAATCCAAGTAGATTTTAGTTTCTTGATGAAATTTTACAGGCTTATTCTAAAATTTACATGGAAATGCAAAGGGCCTAGAAAAGCCAAGGCAATTTCAAAAAACAAAACTAGAGGAACTACATTGCCAGGCAGCAAGATCTATTATAAATTACTCATAAGGGGCGCCTGGGTGGCTCAGTGGGTTAAAACCTCTGCCTTTGGCTCAGGTCATGATCTCGGGGTCCTGGGATGGAGCCCCACATCGGGCTCTCTGCTCAGCAGGGAGCCTGCTTCCCCCTCTCTTTCCGCCTGCCTCTCTGCCTCCTTGTGATCTGTCTGTCAAATAAATAAATAAAATCTTTTCTAATAAATAAATAAATAACTCATAAAATAATTAAGACAACACACTACTGACAAAAGGAGTAACGTGACTTAATGGAACAAAACAATATCCAAGACCCACACATACAGTTAGCTGATTCTCAATTAAGATGTACTGACAATTTCGTGGGGAAAGGACGGTTTTTCAATAAATGGTGCTGCATTAATTGGCTATCCATATGGAAAAACAGGAGAATCTTGCCCTTACCTCACAATATATGCTAATATAGATTCCAGGTAAAATCTAGGTCAAAATATAAAAGCAAAAACAATAAAACTTTTAGAAGAAGGGCGCCTGAGTGGCTCAGTGGGTTAAGTGACTGCCTTCAACTCAGGTCATGATCCTGGAGTCCTGGGATCGAGTCCCACATTGGGTTCCCAACTCCACGGGGAGTCTGCTTCTCCCTCTCACCTTCTCCTCGCTCATGCTCTCTCTCACTGTCTCTCTCTAAAATAAATAAATAAAATCTTTAAAAAAAAAAAAAAAGTTTTAGAAGAAAACAAAAGATCTTCCTAATCTTGTAGTAGGCAAGGACATAGAAAACTCTAACAAAAGGCAAAATGCAAAAGATTAAGTAGTACAATTAAGAACTTATATGTTTTGAATGAAGTCAAAGGGGAGCCTGCTTCTCCCTCTGCCTCCCCCATCAACCCCTCTCGTTCTCTCTCTCAGAAAAATAAATAAAAATCTTTAAAAAAAATTGTGCTAAACATTGTAAGTCATTGGGGAAATGCAAACTAAAACCATAATGAGATACTACCAAGAACCCACCAGAATAGCCAAAAAGGAAAAATGGCAATACTGATGTTGTCAAGGATGTGAAAAAAACTGTAACTCTCTGAACCTCCTGATGAAAGTGCACATTAGTAGAAATGAAAACAAGAAAGGAAGAAAAAAAAGGAACTAAATGAGGGGGGGGAAAAGCACCCTCATACTGAGCTTTTTTCTATATTCATGAAAACTGAACAGCTGCAGAAATATAACAGTTTCACTACTAGATATATATACCCCCAAAATATGTGTGCATAGGTGCATCAAGAAATAAAAAATATTACTCACAGCAGCATTATTCTTAAGAGCCAAAGAGTAGAAAAAAATCCAAATATCCATCAACCACTGAATGGAAAAACAGTATGAAATACGTATACAATGAAATACTCTACAGCAACAAAAATGAAAAAAAAATCACACCTGCACATGAAAACATGGATGAATTTTCTAAATGTAATGTTGCACAAATGAAGCCACACTCAAAAGAATAGCTAAGCTATTTATTATTCCATTTACATAAAGATAAAATATAGGCAGAAGCAGGCAAAATGAATAATCCCTACTGTTAGAAGTCAAGATGGTGATCACCTATGAGAATGAAGGTGGTAGTGACTGGAGGTGGGGAGCACAGGGGCTTTTGGGACACTGGTTCTGACCTGAAAAGTGGTAACAAAGGTATTTTCCCTCTGTGAAATATACTGTGATAATTCACCAAACAATACAATTTGTATATTTTTCTGTTTGCATATTATACTTGTTTTTTAAAAATTAGGTAATTCTTGGGGCGCCTGGATGGCTCAATGGTCAGAGTGGCCTCTGCCTTCGGCTCAGGTCATGATCCCGGGGTTCTGGGATCGAGCCCCACATTGGGCTCTCTGCTCAGTGGGGAACCTGCTTCTCCCTATCCCTCTGCCTGCTTCTCTGCCTACTTGTGATCTCTGTCTGTCAAATAAATAAATAAAATCTTTAAAAAAAAATAAAAATAAAAAATAAATTAAAAATTAGGTAATTCTTTATATACTAATAATTCAAAGAACTCCAAAATATGTGTGTGGCTAAATGAAACAGGACAAACCATTAAAGAGTGTATATATAATACTAACATTTTTACCAAACAATAATCAAGGACATATGTTTGTGTATAATTAATAATCATAATGATAACATTTACTGAATGCTAATTACTTGCTAAGGTATGGGGCTATGCATTTTTCATTTATTCCTTTCAAAAACACTATGCAGTATGCAGTATTACAACCCTTTATTTTATAGATGAGAAAAGTGAGAGAATAAGTAACTTGCCCATAGTCTCCCAGTCATAAAGCTGCAAAACAGGGATTATAACCATGGCTCTCTAGATCAACTCTTCATGCCACATTATCTCTGGAAAGATACACAAAAGAAACCAGCAGCAGTGGTTACCTCTGAGAGAGAATAGTGACTGAGAGACTGGCTGGGAGAAAGGCTTATCAGAGTATAACTCTAAGTACCTTTTGAAGAAATACATCTGCATGTCTCATCTATTATCAAAATTGTATTTATTAAAATTCTGTTCTATGACTTATAATCCCTGAGCTACACAAAACTGCTTTAACCAGAAAACAAGAACTCATTGCTTTATTAGTTTACCTGATTTAGGATGCAAAGCATCACACTGGGCATTGTACATGTGTACAAATTCTTGGTGCCTTTTAATGAGCTGTTGTTTATTTCCTTGAACAGATAGTCCATGCTCTTTTAGCTTTTTCTTTAAATCACGATCTGAGAGCAAGTTATATACAGTTTTGGGCAGAGGCTTCCTTTTGTGAACAGAACTAAAAAGGGGGGAAAAAAAGAGATCACTTAAAGTTACTGTGAACTATCAAACGTTCTCCATATAAAACAGTTAATTGGCCTTCTGATGGAGTACCATTGTGGGAAAATAGCGGAACCATTAAGATAAAAATGGGAAAGAGAAGAAGAATTAAATTTGCAAATAAGGTTGACAGTGTTAGACATGATGCATCTGAGGTGCCCATAGCACATTCAGATACCGGAGTCTAGGTGGCAGAAAAAGAGGTCTCAGAAAGAGGTCAGGCCTAAAGATGCAGACTGGCAACCCATGGAAGGCCTGTGCACTAAATGCTGTTGAGAATCTCACTTCAGAATCACACTTACATAGACTTCCTCAGTTCTCCATTGCTTTAAAGCATCTTTGTCCCAAATGTGCCAGTGATTTCCATGCAAAATCTCTGCAAAAAACTGTTACCTCGGATGATCAGAGTACAAACACTATTGAGATTTAGACTACAGATTTAAGAATATAGCTGCTTTAGAAAGTGCCGATCCACAGGCAAAACTGCTTCCTTAAAGTGTAGGCAATCATTGTACAAAAGCTCTAGATTAAATAAAAGATGTGTTGGGATGGTTAGTTTTAACCAATTCATTACTGCCAATGAAAAAAGAATTCTGAAAGTTGACAGGAAGATAATATTCTTATGGCATCATCTTCAAAGAACATGACTGAAAACAATAGCAAGAAATACAAGAAGGTTTTGTTCTCTTCAACTTCAATTAATTATATTAACAAATATATAAGGATTACAAGTGTATTAGGAAAACCACCACCTGTCTCTTCATTTTATATAACTTATACACTGACAAGCACTAAGCTACAATTTAACACAGCAAAGCCCTATGAGAAGACATTCTGCTCCCTCCAAAAAACCAGTTAAGAAACATTACTTCTTAAAATGGAATAGAAGTCAAGCTACTTAAGGATATCAATGATTTGGACAATTTTAAAAACAGAACTCCTTAGTGAGCTTTAAACTATTGAATCTGATTATAAGCTGGCTCTCTGAGTACATTACTTGGCTCAACACCATGGCAATTAGGTGCTTAATAAATACGCATTCAAAGTAGTCATTAAAATTCCAATATTCCAAAATTTAAATACCAAAGTTTCCAGTATAAACTAATAAGCACTTGAAAGTAAACAGTTTATCCAAAAACAAAACAAAACAAAACAAACCCAAGATTTTACAAAGGACTTGCATATAACTAGTTCACCTTCAAGGCCATGCTACACAAACTGGAGTAAATCTTGGAATCACCAAGGGAGTTTATTAAATTGCAGATTCTTGGTCACATCTCCATACCATCCCCCAATTTTGATTACATTCACAAGTGGAGACCTAAAAATCTATGTTAACAAGCTTCCATAGAGTAAATCTGAGGTAAATCGCCCAAAGACTACACTGAGAGAAATAATACAATTGAATATATGTAGAATGAAAACAACCAAGCATTTTTCTACTAACCAACAGTACCATTCCCTAAATTATTTCTTTTATGCTTTATCAATAACGTCTAAAATCCAGAGATAACTATTTATCGTAAAAAGACCTACAAACCCTCAAGAAAGTACATTTTTCTGAAAACTGCCCAGTAGGCTCTATGAGACAGGTAAGATTACAGCTAAATAAAATCACAGTGGGTAGAAAGAGCTAAAACATTTTGTAGGAGTTTGTACAAGCACACTGTGAGGGACAGTTCAGTAATTTTATCAAGGATAGACAAACTCATGACTGTGAAATGAAAATGGGAAACTCAAGAGTTTAATGGCATTTACCATGAAAAGCACCAACAGAAATCAACAATTTCTATCCAGAATTTTTAAATATGAAGCCTGACAGATGATTCCCAAAACGTGAAGATAACACTGATCCTTCATCCATGATTTAGTGAAAGTGCATTTAGGAGTCTTTAGAATCTGAAGACATCAAAAGGAAGAACAGTCTTTGAATCAACTCTGACACGATTCTACATAGAATGGGTTAAGGGTTGTCACCCTTATCAAAGAAATGGCCTGCCAGGGTGTTGTGGATAAAATTTTCTAAATGTCATAGTATATTTTATGTGACCAGACCCCAAGACCAGGATGTAACTAAATGGAAATGCAGTTCAATGTTCCCCTAAGCATATCATTACAAATCAGTCTTGTAAGACGTAAATTATGAGGATAAAAAGGTTTTGGGGTCAAGGGGTGCCTGAGTGCCCCTGTGGGTTAAGTGTCTGCCTTTGGCTCAGGTCATGACTCAGGGTTCTGCGATTGAGCCCCACAGCAGGCTCCCTGCTCAGCGGAGCCCCTCCCCTGCTCATGCTCTCTCTCTCTAATAAATAAATAAAATCTTAAAAAAAAAGATTTTGGGGGTGACTGGGTTGCTCAGTGGGTTAAAGCCTCTGCGTTTGGCTCGGGTCATGATCCCAGGCCTCTGGGATTGAGCCCCACACCGGGCTCTCTGTTCAGCAGAGAGCCTGCTTCCTCCTCTCTCTCTGTCTACTTGTGATCTCTGTCTGTCAAATAAATAAATAAAATCTTAAAAAAAAAAAAATGGGGGGGTCATGTAAATGTAGTACTCACTAGATTAAACAAAACCCAACAATTGCATTGATACAGGACTTCTCAAAGCCTTCAATACACTAAATGGTATAATGAATCTTTCCCTAAGAGATATGATATGCAGTGCTTCTAAACTGCAAGACAGAGCAAATGGAGGACCACGGTATTCCAAGGAGCAGGGTTTGGAACCACTATTGGAACTTGAACTTAATTATGTTTGGATGAGTATGTCTTTGGATAAACTGACAAAACTAAATGTATTAGAAGAAATATGACAGATGCATCTAAAAAAAGAGCAGTCCAAACAAGACTATTAGTGCTGATTTCTTACTATTCAATAAGGAGAAAATACTCAGCCTCTATACTTGAAACTCATTCCTCAGGAAGAAACACTCTTTTTTTTTTTTTTTTTTTTTTTAAAGTGGGCTTCATGTCCAATGTGGGGCCTGAACTCAGGACCCTGAGGTTGAGAGTCACATGATCTCCTGACTAAGCCAGCCAGGCGCCCTAGGAAGAAACGCTTCTAAGGAGAAATGCAGATCACCGGATTCTCATGGCGTATGGGAAATAACCCTCAGGATGAAGAAGCCAAAATGGAAGAGGTGGAAAATAGTTTATAAAGCATAAGAAGTACCTTGCTAAAGTAACTCAAAGGTTATGCTTGACTTTCTTACCTTCTGAGGCTTTCCTTCTTCTCCTCACGTGTTAAACAGCTGTCTAAGTGCTTATTAATGTGATTTTCTGGAATATTAACCCCGCAAACAGGACAATCCACTGTAATTTTTTAAAAAGAGAAAGAGAGACTTTATTATTTACATAAAGGGCAAAAATAATGTATAACCTGTCATCTTTCAGCAATTAATATAAAAAATAGAATCACAACCTTAACATGCACTTAGGAAAGCAGAAGAAAAAAAGAATGACACCTCAGGGCAACAGGACTGGGAGAGACTATTCACTGAATAATGGCTAAATTGTAGTAAGTCACATAGAATCCGGGGCTTACATAAGAGATTGCAAAGAAGTCTGGAGATTCATTTATCAGAAAATGATTTGGTTAAGTCTTTTCTACTGAGGCGTGACTGACCTATAGAACTAATCTTAAGTTTTTCCGTCTTAGGAGCCATTCATCTGCAGCACTATAGCAATTATAACAACATGAATAAGATAAACCTGGCTGGGGACAGGAAGCTATGCAAAGCTAAACTGAAACATTTGTTGGTCTGGGCCAACTACTATCAAAATTAACAATGGTTACAAATTTAATAACTTAGCTCTTATTTGTAATTACAAATGTAGTATTGCCTTTAGGAAACACAATCACTGTCAAACTGTTTGATGAAGTTGCAGAGAATTGTGGAAGAATCTTGGGGCCCAGAGGCCACCATGATAATGGCAGGGATGAAGCAGGAGGTCAGGCCCTCCATCTCTACTTCAATGGAGCAGGACCAATTTTAGCGATTTTATGTGTTACAGTTCGCGGTTAAGATTTTATTTGAAAAAATTGGTCTGTTGGGGAAAAAAGTTAACTATCAAGCTAAAAACACTACAAGAACTGTCAACTGATAGACTAACAAAATATATGGTAGGAAATGCAAGATTCACATATCCTTACAAAAATTTTTTTTTTACAATTTTATTTATTTATATGAGAGAGAGATAATGAGAGTGTGACATGAGCAGTGGCAGAGGGAGAAGCAGGCTCCACTGCTGAGCAGGGAGCCTGATGCAGGGCTCAATCCTGGGACCCTGGGATCATGACCTGAGCTGAAGGTAGACCCTTAACCAACTAAGCCACCAAGCGCCTCTCGTTACAAAATTTAAACCCTTGACTACTAATACGCTAACTTTAACCTAAGTTTAATAACCACTAATAGTGGGGCACCTGGGTGGCTCAGTCAGTTGAGCATCTGCCTTCAGCTCAGGTCATGATCTCAGGGTCCTGGAATAGAGTTTGCATCACCAGGCTCCCTGCTTAGCAGGGAGTGTGCTTCTCCTTCTCCCTCTGCCCTTCCCTGCCATTTGCGCTTTCTTGTGCATGCTCTCCCTCTCCCTCTCCCTCAGATAAATAAATAAAATCTTTTTTAAAAACTAAAATAAATAACCACTAATTGCCCTGCACTATGTGTGATGTGGGCATACCAAAGATATCTTAGTGTCTGCCTAAAAGGTGCCCTGAACTTCACAGGTAAGAGGAGACATGGAAACATAAGTTAAACAAGCTAATTCATCAAAAAAGCAAACTATAAACAAAATAGCCCAGAAAACAAGTGCTGTAACACTTTCATGATGTGAGATGTCAATATCATCTAACATAACTAAAGAATAATTAGGATCTTGAATAGAGTCTAAAAAGGTAAAGCAGGGGTCAGCAAAACTTTTTTTTTTTTTTTTTTTAGAGAGAGAGAGCAAGAGCATGCACATGAGTGAGCACTGGGGGCAGTAGATATCTCAAGCACGCTCCCTGCTGAGCACAGACCCCAACACAGGGTCCGATCTCACAACCCTGATATCATGACCTGAGCCAAAATCAAGACTTGGATGCTTAACATAATGAATCACCCAGTCATCCCAGCAAACCTTTTTAGTTAAGGGCCAGCTAGTAGAGATTTTAGACTCTGCAGGCTAGATGGTCTCTGTTATAACTACTAACCACTGCCACGGAGCATGAAAGCATTCATAAACAGTATGTCAACAAATGGGTGTGGCTATTTTCTAGTGAATCTTTACTTACAAAAATAGGTGTCAAGCCAAATTTGGCCTGTAGCTTGTAGTTTTTCCAATCTCTGGGTTTATTCAAGGAATAATGGGAAGATTAGCATGGCTACTGCAGGAGGATTTTTGAGATGAAGAGGTAAGAAATAAGGTCAGACATCTAGGGGAGGGGTCTAATTGTCTATGGCTATAAATGCCAGTCTGAAGAGCTTGAAAGTTTCAAAGAGGAGTATAAGAAGATAAAAGGAGCTCTTTAAGATTAAACTGGAACTGATATGACAGATGAGGAGGGAAATTAAAAGCTGAAAATTAGAAAGCGACTGCCATAGTTAAAATATGAGCTAATTAAAATTGCTTCATTTTTCCAGCAATCAGCCTGAATTCCTATTCTGTAAGAGAGAAAGAGTATAAAAATATCTTGCAGCACTGCTTACATCAATTCCGAGACTGTTATAATGTGAAATGGTTTGTCCTTTCCCATTCCATCCCCCTCATGATGCTTATTTATTCTCAGGTCATATGGGATGAAAAGATTTCCCTTAAGTAAGAAAATACATATATGAAAATAATTTCCTACCTTTCGTAACCTGTTTCAAAGTTGATGTAGAGGGTTTCTCAGGAACATGACCATCTAAGGAACACGGAGCTGCCTTTTCTATGGAAGGTGTCTCCTTGGTCTTTGAAGAAGTGCTCACCTCTTTCTGAGGGATAAATTTAATCTCATTCTCTTTTATCAACAACTCTGATGTAGAACCACCAGTTTCTCTGATCAAGAAATTTTCCATTAACCTGCTTCCTTGCTTTAAAGAATGTCTGAAGGCTACAGGAGTGTGTGCTTTGGCAGCAAGGTTCTTTGAAGAGGAGGAAGCAGGAGATATGGGTGGTGACTCCAAGGCAAACTGCAAAAGATGATTCCTTGAAGCACAAAAAACACAATGGATAATGAAGATGTCAAGTTATATACAATAATAAACTGACATAAGCTGTTCATCCAATTAACACTTGCTTCTGTGAAATACCAAACTTACTCCATAATGACAATGAAACCAGTATTTCTTCAAAGCAACAAATCTGACTTAAAAGGCAGTTAATCTTTTATAAAGAAAAATGGAGATACTTTAGCATCTGGCCATAAAGAATACCTGGTGTGAGACTTATTCTCCAACCATATACAACTTTAAGATCTGAGCGAAACATACAAAACAAATGTTTATAGCATGGACTATCATCAATGCAAGGCTGTAGTCACTGAAAGAAAAGGGAAACATGAGGTGACCCAACATTCCCCTAAGAATTTCCCCTGGAAGCATCTTCTGGAGTCAGGTTTTGAAATGAAGTCCAAATAGAGACCAGAGGGAAGAGAGATGAGAGTTCTGAGCAAAGATGGCTAGGATTGAAGGGATAGGGTGCTGGACTGGCGGTACCCATAAAAAAAGAACCCCCCAAATCTGCACAAATTCTCATCCATTCCTGATCATCTCCAGGGCTGCAAAAGCCTAAGACAGAAAACAAGAGAATCTCATAAGAAGCACATGTTGAGAAGCTGAGATTCCCAAGGTCAGTGAAAAGTTGTTGGGAGTCTGAGCCCAGCCAAACTGGAAAGATATTGGTAAAGATCCCAGACATTCAGTTAAAACCCCACAAAGGCCATATCTCAGGATAAAGGACCATACTCTGGAAATATAAAACATAAATAGACCAAACCAGCAAAAAACTAAATAAGGCCCTAACAGAATAAAAGTGAAGAGCTGGTGGGATGCCTGGATGACTCAGCTAACTGCCTGACTCTCAATTTCAGGTCAGGTCTTGATCTCATAGTACAGTGCATTAAGCCTCACATTGGGCTCCATACCAGGCCTGGAGCCTACTTAAAAAAAAAAGAAAAGAAAAGAAAAGAAAAAAAAGAAAAGAAAAGAAAAGAAAAGAAAAAAAAGTGAAGAGCTGGTAACTTAGCTACTTGTGAGAACAGAATCCAACTTCTTTCAAAGGAAGATAATTCATAGCCTCTATAACATTTCATCAGAACACATTTAAAAATGACTAGACATGCAAAGAAGCAAGAAATTAGCCACCAATTAAAAGATCAAATAGTCAATGGAAGTGGATCCAGAGGTGATCCAAAGAGTGTCATTAGAAGGACTTCAAAATTACTGTGATGAATATTAAAAAAAAATAAAAAGAAAAAGAATAAAAAGGTAGCATACTGTCAGGAGGAATTAAAATCCATCCCAAAAAGGATAAACAAAGAAAATAAAACCTAGGCATGTATTACTCAAACTGTTAAAAAAATAAAAGAAAGAAATTCTTGTACATAACCAAAAGGGAAAAAAAAAAAAAAAAGCCATGGTACCTCTAAGCATGGTTTCTCAACCTTGGCACTACAGACGCTTTGAATCAGATACTTTTTTTGCTATTCTGTGCATTGTAGAAACATCAGTAGTATACACCCCACTCTAGGTTGAGACAACCAAAATGTAACCAAACATTACCAAATGTCCCCTGGGGGAGGGGTAAAGGGAAAGTAAAATCACTCCCAGCTGAGAACCACTGCTCTAAGAAACAATAAAAACATTTACTTCTCTGCTTTGTCGAAGATTAGTTGACCACAGAGTTGAGGGTCTATTTCTGGGCTCTCTATTCTGTTCCACTGATCTATGTGTCTGTTTTGTGCCAGCACCATGCTGTCTTGATGAAGACAGCTTTGTAATAGAGCTTGAAGTCCGGGATTGTGATGCCACCAACTTTGGCTTTCTTTTTCAATATTCCTTTGGCTATTCGCGGTCTTTTCTGGTTCCATATAAATTTTAGGATTGTTTGTTCCATTTCTTTGAAACAAATGGATGATACTTTGATAGGAATTGCATTAAATGTGTAGATTGCTTTAGGTAGCATAGACATTTTCACAATATTTATTCTTCCAATCCAGGAGCATGGAACATTTTTCCATTTCTTTGTGTCTTCCTCAATTTCTTTCATGAGTACTTTATAGTTTTGAGTATAGATTCTTAGCCTCTTTGGTTAGGTTTATTCCTAGGTATCTTACAGTTCTGGGTGAAATTGTAAATGGGATTGACTCCTTAATTTCTCTTTCTTCTGTCTTGTTGTTGGTGTAGAGAAATGCAACTGATTTCTGTGCATTGATTTTATATCCTGACACTTTACTGAATTCCTGTACAAGTTCAAGCAGTTTTGGAGTGGAGTCTTTTGGGTTTTCCACATATAGTATCATATCATCTGCAAAGAGTGATAGTTTGACTTCTTCTTTGCCGATTTGGATGCCTTTAATTTCCTTTTGTTGTCTGATTGCTGAGGCTAGGACTTCTAGTACTATGTTGAATAGCAGTGGTGATAATGGACATCCCTGCCGTGTTCCTGACCTTAGCGTAAATGAAACAAGTTGGGATTGGGAGGGAGACAAACCATAAGTGACTCTTAATCTCACAAAACAAACTGAGGGTTGATGGGGGGAAGGGGGTTGGGAGAAGAAGGGTGGGGTTATGGACATTGGGGAGGGTATGTGCTATGGTGAGTGCTGTGAAGTGTGTAAACCTGGCGATTCACAGACCTGTACCCCTGGGGAAAAAAATATGTTTATAAAAAAGAAAATTAATAAAATAAATAAATAAATAAATATTAAAAAAAAAAAAACCACTTTAGAAAACCAGGAATGGAAAGAAACTTTTTTTTTTTTTTTTTTTTTTTAATTAAAGTAGGCTCTGTGCCCAGCCAGCATGGAGCCCAACGCAGGGCTTGAACTCACAAGCTTGAGATCAAGACCTGAGCAGAGATCAAGAGTCAGATGCTTAACTGAGAGAGCCACTCAGGCCCCCCAAAAGGAAACTTTCATAATCTGATAAAAGATAACTTCAAGAAAACTATGCTAATATTATAGTCACTAGTAAAACTTTGGATATCTCCCCCTAAGACTGAAAACAAGAAAAAGATATGTCTACCACCACTATTTCTCTTCAAATTATACTGGAGGCTCTAGCTTTTGTGGTAAGGCAGAAAAAAACAAACAAAATACACACACACACACACACACACACATTACATACACACACAAACACACATACACACACACACACACAAACAATGGGAAAAAAAGAAAACTTATTATTTGCAGGTGACATGATTATGTTCAAAATAATCTAAAGACTCCACATGCAACTAGAATAAGTGAATTTTTGCAAGACCCTGAACGTAATATCAGTTAACAAAAATTAATGTCTATATGTTAGCAAAGAGAAAATGAAATTCTAAAATAAATACCACTTGAAATACCATCAAAAACTTTAAATACCTAAGAATAAATTTAACAAAAATGTGTAAAATTTATATCTTGAAAACCACCAAATTTGCTGAGGGAAATTTTATTTTATCCTATTTTTTAAAAGATTTTATTTATTTATTTGACAGAGATATAGAAAGCATAAGTAGGCAGAGCAGCAGGCAGAGGAAGGAGAAGCAGCTCCCTGCTAAGCAGGGAGCCCAATTCAGGGCTGGATCCCAGGACCCTGGGATCATGACCTGAGCCAAAGAGAGAGAGCTGCTTAACCAACTGAGACCCAGGTGCCCCTGCTAAGGGAAATTTTAAAAAAGACCTCAGTAAAGAAATATCCTATGTACATGGATTAGAAAACTCAACAATGTTAACATACCCATTTTCCCCATATTTATTTATAGATTCAATAAAATGCCAAGCACAATAAAGGCAACTTTTGTGGGGGTTGAAATGATACATTCATTCTAAGATTATGGTCCATATACACAATGGAGTATTATGCCTCCACCAGAAAGGATGAATACCCAACTTCTGTATCAACATGGACAAGACTGGAGGAGATTATGCTGGGTGAAATAAGTCAAGCAGAGAGAGTCAATTATCATATGGTTTCACTTACTTGTGGAGCATAAGGAATAACACGGACGCCATTGGGAAATGGAGAGGAGAAGGGAGTTGGAGGAAACTGGAGGGGAAGACGAACCATGAGAGACTATGGACTCTGAGAAACAAACTGCGGGTTTTGGAAGGGAGGGGGTGGAGGGTTGGGTGGGTCTGGGGGTGAGTATTAAGTAGGGCACGTATTGCATGGAGCACTGGGTGTGGTGCATAAACAATGAATTCTGGAACACTGAAAAGAAATAAAATTAAACTTTTAAAAAAAGAAAAAAAGAAATCAAAAGCCCCAGAATGAAAGTAGGCTTAAAGGAAACCAAGGTTGAGTACTCATACTACAGATGTTAAGAACTTAACAGCACAGCTATTGCATTAAAGACACTGTAGTTTTAGCTGAAAGAGAGAGAGAATGTGTCCAGAATGTCCAGAATTAGCCCAACACATGTAGTCACTTGATTTACAACAAAGGAGCCACTGCAATTTAGTGAGTCTTGATAAATGGTGCTGAAGCAACCAAGTATCTGTCGAGGAAAAAAAATGAATCCTGACTCTTAACCTCCATCATACATAAAAATTAACCTGAATAGGTTCACAGGCCTAAGTGTAAAAGCTAAAATTGTAACAATTCTAGGGGGAAAAAAAAATGGGAAAAATATCTATGACCTGAGACAGACAAAGACTTTTTAGGCAAGATTTTTTTTAAAAGTAGTAATCATAAAAAAGAGAGAGAGAGAGAACGAACTTCGTCAAAATTAAAAAAATGTCTGTTCATCAAGACAACCTTTAGAAAATGAAAAGGTAAGCCAAACACAGGAAGAAAAAAATACATATATACGACCAAAATACATAAAAAACTACAAACTGATAAGAAAAAAACAAAATACCATTTCTAAAAATTGGGTCAAAATGTAACAGACCCAAAGATATAAGAAGAGTCAGTAAGTACATGAAAAGGTACACTAGTCATCAGAAAGTGCAAATTAAAACCACAATGAGTTATCACTTCACACCCAAT